CTGTGCACTGACAGCCTGCTTTGTAATTCTAGCTTGTAATTTAGGAAATTCATATTTTATAGATTGTGATTTTTATGACACTTTGAACAGAGCTGTAAGGCTAGAAAAATGAAAATAAGATTGTTGTATGTAATTTTAAATTCCCAGATGAAATGAAACACAATAGTTTTGCTGCCCATTACATTTTAGTGTTAGACTTCACTGTTTAGTATGTGTCTTTTGGGGGACATCCAAATGCTGACACCAGTGTTTCCTTATTTATTATAGGGAGGAGGAACTAAACTGAAAAAATGAAAAAACAAAACAGCTTCCCCCACCCCCGCAAAACCCCACCACATCTCCTCTGATGGGGTTTTACCTTCACATAAAGACTTCAGTGTCAAAGACACCTTCCAGGCTTGGCCTCAAACGTAGAAGGACACCTAGCAAATATTATAAACACAACTGAGTACAGCTCAGGTTCCACTCCCATTCCTCCCTCTCTCTTTTTTAAAAATGCTGAGCCCTCAGATATAAATATCAGTCAGAAAAAATGTGCCGTAAGAGCTGGTTATTCCATATATCCTCACTTTGAGATTTCTTGCATCTTTCTTTGAGACCTCTGGTACTGGCAGAGGCAGGACACTGGATGATAGAAGCCTGGGTTCAGATTCACAATGGCAATCCCATGTTCTAGACTTTCGAACAGTCATTATCTTCCAAGACTCCTGTAACTTAAAAAATATACCAAATCGCCATATAGGAGCTTGTATAGGAATGCTCTTATATAAAGTATATGATCAAGTATTCTCCTGGATTTTGCCCCCCCTGTGCAATTGCTACATGACCAGCCTTTTCTCTTCAGAAGATATTGATTTGACCTACTGTTCGCTTTATGCTGTTGATTTTTTTTTCTTCTGTTCTGCAGTTTTTGAAGAGCCTGAAGACCCAAGTAACAGGTCATTTTTTTCTGAAATCATCTCTTCAATTTCTGATGTTAAATTCAGTCACAGTGGGAGGTATATCATGACCCGAGATTATCTCACAGTCAAAGTATGGGACCTGAACATGGAGAACAGACCCATTGAGACGTACCAGGTACTACTTTCTCAGAGGTGATGGTATACCAGACCAGGGATGCTCACCCTCTGGGCTGCAGAGCCTTTGAATATGGGTCATGGGACTCCCCATAAGTCAGGAAATTTGGTGGCAGGGGAGCAGTGGCAGTTAATACCACCACCCCCCCCGCTCCCAAAATCCCAAACTCAGCATGACAGGTCAGAGCCAGGCCACAACTGTCCCCCCATATGGTCAGATCAGGGCCCAGCTAAGTCCCCTTTCCCCACATGGCTGGATCAGAACCAGGCTGCCCCCCCGCACCTTCTTGCCGCAGGGCCAAGCCATGCCCGCTCCCCCTATGTGGCTGTTTTGGGGATGGGCTATGCCCCCTTCCCTCCAACCAGCCAGGCTAGGGCTGGGCCATGCCTCCTTCCTCCCACAAATCAGACCGTGACCCCTCCCCATGCAAGTCTGGATCAGAGCTGGGTCATGCCCCCTCTTCCCCGCTGAGCCAGGCCAAGTCCCTTTTCCTCACATGGCTGGATAGGGGCTGGGCTGCCCCACGCAGCCCTCATCTATGCAGCTGAATTAGGCCCCACCGCATGCACCCCAGGTACTGGATTAGGTCCACTAGCTGGATCCAGCCTGCAGAGGAACCAGGCATTACCCATCTGGCTCCACACACAAAAAGGTTGAGCACCACTGTACTAGACATGTGGGAACAAAGAAGGAAACACTCAGACTGCCCCTTTTGATGGGATGTGCTTGAGTTATCACAAGGAAGAAGTTAGGGTTAAAAAAGCATAAAATTTAGGAGTACAAAATAAAAACAGTGTATAAGAATTTGTGCCTACTCTCTCTAAAGTTTTGCCTACAATTTTAAATTGGAGTACGATTGCTTCATAAGCTTTTGTAATTACATAAAACATCGCTTTTATCCCAGTTGTAATTTTGGATGAATTGGTGAATGTGCAGGTTTACATTTGGGGCGTGTTTTGCATGAGGGTAACGCAGGTTTGCTAGCAGAGTTCTGATAACTGCCCTTAACCCAGACCTACTCTACCCTGTGCCAGTCTAGTGCCAAGCTCCTTGAGACAAATCTTTCTTTATATAGTATTTGCGGCCCTGCACTGCCAAATCCTCAATATATGGTGCTCAAGCTATATTTAAAATGGCACTCATTTTTTATTCACTGGAACTGGAAAATGATTGAAAACGTGTGAATGAGTGCATTTAAAAGTTCTGTCCAACTCCATTTCAGAGAACACAGCAAGTCAGTCACTATACGCATCAGTGCATTTGGTTGTGGATGGATTAGTAAGTTAAACATCAGGAACTCTAGTCACATTTTTAACTCACTGGACCATGTAGCTGAAATGCAAAACTAATAAGCAGAGATCCTGGTTTTCTCTGTTTAAAAATAGCAAATTCTCAGATTAAACTCTCCTCACCCACAGCCCAGCACCCCCCGCCCTGCTGGTGCCCCTCACTTGCAACCCACAGTCTCCTGCCCCCTCTGCCCTGCTGGAGGAGGCCCCGAGCTACCAGGGCTATAGGGCCAGGGCCAGGGCCAGGGCCAGGGCCCACAGCTCCCAAAACTGCACATGGCATCCCCTGCCTCCTCCTGTTCCCCCCAGCCCCAAGCAGCCCCTTGAAGGCTGGATCTCTGCCAGCTTGCAAGATGAAACCTGCCATTTCTCACATTTTTCTCTTTTAAACGCATATTTTGTATGTTTTTCCATGGCGAATGGGAAACCCAGATCCCTGCTAATAAGTAATTTGCAATTTGGTATTGAAGGTACTATGCTAGGAAATTGGTGCCTCTTTTTGTTCCATTTTAGACTTAAGGCATTCAACTAAACCTCCAGAAAGCATGGTATTGTTTCTCATCCTGCCCTTTTTTTGCTGTCAGGTTCACGATTACCTCCGAAGCAAGCTGTGCTCTCTCTATGAGAATGACTGCATCTTTGATAAATTTGAATGTGTTTGGAATGGGTCTGACAGGTAAGAAACATCATTCTAGATTATAAGGGGGACTTTGCTCATGGATTCCCAAACTACAGATTGTACTGTTCATTCTGCACTTAAGAAGTGCTGTAAATTTAGAGATGATATTCTGTATTCTTTACAAAACAGAGCATTTGAATTCCTTTTTTATGTACAAAATGGATCTCATCCTTAACCCTGGACCCTTGGTCATAATACTATTGGCTCTTCCCTTTCTTCTGCTATGTAGTCCTTTCTCTGACATCTTGCTTGTTGGCCTAGTGGTTTGGTGTAGAGCTTTAGAGGGTTTCCTTCATATATATGTGTGTGTGTGTATATAGATAACTATTTTTTCTGGTTCTGGTTTTGGTTCGGATATGCCAATATATCAGGAGACCTAGGGACAGAGGTTACACATAAACTGGTATAAGTAATCAGAAACCAGTTCAAATCTGTAACACAAGAGAAGTTCAGCGCATATAAACCACTTTCAAAATGGATTAAGCCAGTTTAAGATAAACCTAGATCAATATAGTATCAGACTTAACTTATTTAAGTTAAATCAGTTAATTGAACTTCTGTCCCAGATCCCCTCTAGGTTCCAAGTTACCTCACAGTCCCCCAGCATCCCAGGATGCTTTGCACCTTCCCTGCAATGCCACCACCCCCCCTTCACAGGGCGGGAGGACTAGCTTTGGTCCAAGCTGTCTTCTCTACCTAAGCAGGGAGGCATGCTCTAGCACCCTTCAACTTTGGTCCTGAGCCACTGCAACCATGTGGCTGCATTTCCAGAATCAAAAGTGAATGTCTGTTCACTTGTTTATCAGTTCAATCTACACAGCTTAGACTGACCTGTGAAGATTGAATTGATTCAGCCTTGGGCCTTTTGACTGTCTGTACTTAGCCCAGGTGTTCTGTGAAATTTGGGTTCAACGTGATAACTTATTTTGGTCCAAAACTGCAAAAAGTAATATTAATGCTAGGCAGAAGAAATCATTCATGATGAGTTGATCTCAGAGGATTTACACAATTGTGTATCTAAATCTTGTAAGAATTCAACATCATCAAAATATTAACTCAATAGGGGCTAGGTTTAAATCCAAATCCCTTATCTAATCTAGATCAAGGAAGTTTCTCTATAACTCATCAGTAGTTAGAAACAAACGAGGCCAGTATTCAGGTTAGTTGAAACACTTGTCCCATATTACATAGTCCATATTTAACTCATTATTATTGAGGGGCGAGGAAATAACTTTCATGGAAATTTCCCTAAGAAAGAAGTAAGGAAATAAACTTGAGGAGATGCATCCCAGCCTTACCCAACAAATCCAAATATTTTTTTTTTCGATATGGTAGAAAAGGAATGGAGTTCTCCAGAATTTCCTGATCCTGAAATTATGTGAGGTTCAAAAAGAGTATCATTTATCAGTCTAGTTCTCACCTCATTTGAACTCGGCAAATAGCAACATGGAAAAAACAAACACATTAAGCCAAATCATCCCCGGAGAGGCCTGCAAACTGAGAGCAAATCTCTAGCAAACCACTATAGCAATCTCTAGCGAACAATTCAGTGATGATGTTGACTCCCCCTCAGCTCTTCCTTCTGTGGAAGGATCATGAATCTGATCTGTTGTTTCAAGGGTCCAGAAGGAAGAGCTTGCAAGGACACTCCTGCTGCTGTGTCCTGTACATTCGGCTCATCCCTTCTTTCTGCTTACTTTGCAGCGTCATAATGACTGGCTCCTACAACAATTTCTTCAGAATGTTTGATCGCAACACGAAGCGTGATGTCACCCTAGAGGCCTCGAGGGAAAACAGCAAGCCTCGGGCCATCCTCAAGCCCCGCAAAGTGTGTGTAGGGGGCAAACGAAGGAAAGATGAAATTAGTGTGGACAGTCTGGACTTTAGTAAAAAGATCTTGCATACAGCTTGGCACCCTTCAGAAAATATCATAGCAGTGGCAGCAACAAATAACCTGTATATATTTCAGGACAAGGTTAACTAGGAGGAAAAGTTATTCTTTAGGAATCTCATGTACTGAATACTAGTAAACACAAGATTTCAAATCTTTCTTTTTCTTTTTTTCCCCCCTCCTTCCTGTTCATTTGGTTAATTATTCCTCTGCATATAACAACCTTGTAGAGGTGAACAAACAGATTCCAATGTCCCCAGCCTCCTCAAAACTTAAAAGTAACAGGTTGGCAAATCCAGTAGATATCACATTTTCGTTTTACTTTTTGGAGAACTGAACTCGACCAAATGATATGGTCCCTTTGATAGCAGGCTTGGATTTCTGATGCTTTTATTATACTGAGTAATCTTTGGTGGTTCCTAGTATTGTTTTGGTTGTAGGCATCTGCTGATTTAAAATGAAGATAAACACTATATTATGGGATTTTTAAAAAGTCAGCTAAGGTCAGAAAAAAGGGTATGATCGTGTGTGCGTTTGTGTGTGTGCGTGCAGGTGCATGTGTACACATGCTCGTTGTTTAAGTAATCCCATTTTTTTAGTATCATTTTGGAGATAATTCACTTGTTTTGTGCAAAATTAGAATGTTGTTCCCCTGCCAATGGCTTTTTAAATTCATATAGTTTTTGAACTGACAGCAAAACCAAACAAAGTAGAAAAGATCAGATTTGCAGTGAATGAGTTTATAGGAGGGGGGGAAATCAACTGTACACTAAGAACTGTATATTCTAATCAAGGCTGCTACCTTCCTTCTTCACAACCCACAGAAAGTCTTAAGGATTTGGCTCTGTAGATACTGTGGTGCCTTTTTTGGTATATGAAATACCTTTATAAATAATGCTTCCAAAATGCATTTATTTCAAACCAAAATGAATCTGGGCTTTTCTTCTACATAACTTGTATTTTGCTTTAGTCATTTTGAATTGTTCTGTTTTCATGTCTTGCATGTCATAACTGTCTCTTTTCCTTTTTTAAAATTAATTTATTTATTTATTCATTCAATTTATTTTTTTTAAAGATAAAATATAAGTTGCTAATTTATGACATTCTAAGGAAAACCACCATATATAGCTGCTAGCACCTGACTGCTTCACATAGAGGTTGTCCATGGTTCTACAGTATAATAATAATAATAAAAATAATAACTCTTCCTCTTTGCATGCCAAGGCTGCCCCTTTCTACTGCAAGGATTATTCAGGTCCCTTCTTTATTTGAGGAATGATCCAATTAAAACTGAAGTTTTTATTCAGTCTGTGAACTGCTGCTGCAACAAAAGTAAAAACAAAAACCACTATCGTGTTAAAAATGGATACCTAATGTGCTGTGCATTCTTTCTGCTTGTGAACAGTGAGCAATAGAGCCAGCAGCTTTCATTGTTGCAGGAAAAAGTTATATAAATTTTTAAAGGCAAAATGCACTCTTTAAAGCCTCTTGTGTAAGGTGTGATTTGGATTTCCAGCATTTTCTGCTATGTCTTACCAAGTTTGATACCTTACAAGTGAGACTCTCTGCCACTTTCTCAAGGGGCACTAAATCCCACAAGGAAATTACATAAAATGCATAGCTAACTGGGGACCTTCAGTAAATTTCTCTGGGGCAAGAGGAAGCCACCCTTCAAGTACTTGGATCCAAGCTTCTAATTGTTATTTAACTATTTAATACCCTGTCCACTCTTCATGAGACTGCTCAGGGCAGGACCGGATAAGAGTTTGCCTTGTTCAAAGGAATGATTACAAGAAAAAAAGAAGAAAAAAAAAAAGTATGCTGGCTTATACATTTATTACAAGTAATGGCTTTCAGAAGTAACTTTTTTTTTAAAAAATGAAATGGTTTTAAAAAATTAGCAAGAGTAAATGAGTCATTTTTTAAAAAAATGTTCCTTTTTTGTTCCTGTAAAGAAAGCCTGCACTCTGGCATCAGAAGTAAAAGTTGTCCCAAATGTGTTTTATGTGTGGATTCACTGATTGTTCTGCTTTCTAAATGTTATGCAATATATTAAGCCTTTGGCACCAGAATTATAGAAAGGAAAGTCAACTGTCTGCCAGGCTGCTCATGCCGTTGGAAGCCCTGCTATACCTAGCAACAAGACCAAATATATCCTGACATCTTGGTGAACCTTTGGGCAACAGAGTGCATCTGACCCTGAAATTAGAAATAGTTTCCACCTTTAGCTTACTGGTCGAACCTACCCATCAGTAGGAACTTGATGCAGCCAGTTGCATAAGGGTGGGATCTACTGCCTGGGGGGAATCTGCAACAGCTTTGAGTATGGTATGATGATCCTGCTGGTGCAGATCTCTGGTTGTATCCACTGCTGAGATCAGCACCCACGTTTGGAGGGGTAGTATGAACTGCTTATGCTACATGAAATGTTTGATTCCACGAGCGCAGAGAATTCACAGCAGAAAGGCAGGGGAAAAGAAGGACAGGGAGGTAAAGTGATTTGGAAGTTTGTCTAGTGCCTAGAATGAATAAGGGCCAGCACCACCCACGCTCTGTGGTTAGCAGTGTCAGGGGCACCACAGACCAAATGAAGGGACCAAGAGGAATCCTGCAAGTCAAAAACGATGCTTGTCAGCTGCATAGAAAACTTCACTCGATTAATGCCTGTATCACAGCCGTTCCAAAAACCAAGACAGAGGGCAATCTTGGTGGTCAGTCAGGTTCCTTTCCAGAGCTTTAAAACTTGTGAGCATCTTTGTATTAAGAATGTGTTGGTAATTTGAGCAACGTACTGAGAAGTCTATGGCCTCATGCTAGTTCTCTGCAGAGCAAAGAAGTCCCTGTAACAGCTGGTCCACAAGGGTGCAGGGCTGGTGCTCAACAATTCAAATTTCTTGTCAAAAAAGTAGATATTCAGGAGAACTTTGGTAAAACTTAAATAATAATAATAATATCTTTTCCTATTTAGTTTTTTCTTGCCTCCATTCCCCAGTCTCATCATCAGGGATCCGGGTTTTCCATTTGCCATGGAAAAATGCAGATTTTCTCCTTTACAGGAGAAAAACATGGGAAATCACAGGTTCCCTCTTGCAGGCTGGCCGAGTTCCAGCCTGCAAGGGGCTGGGGGCAGTGGGATGCAGGGGACGCCACGGGCATGTGTACATGTGCACGCCCGCACATGGCCGGGAATACAGCCCCAAGCAGTGGTGAAGAGCAGCTCCTGAAGGTAAGTCTAGAGGGGGGAGGATAGGGGCACAGGCAGTGTGGGAGAGGGGGGGCAGGTTGTGGCAGCGGCCACGGTGAGTGAGGGAGAATGGGGCAGGGTTGGCGGCTGGGGCTGGGGGGCAGCTGCGTAGCCAGGGCACTGCCCAGAGCCAGATTGAGAATACGCTGCCAGCAGGCCTCCAGCTGATGCCATGGAGCAGGGAGCAGGCAGCCTGGTCCAGTAGCCCTGGCAGCTGGGGTCTGCTCTGGCAGGGCTGGGGGCATAGGCGACTGGTAGGGGGTGCACGTGCCCCCCCAACGGGGCCGGTGTCCTCTCTGACGGCCAACACTGATGCTGTTGGTAGGGCTGGTGCCCCCCCTTGACAGGGTCAGTGGCTTCTGCGGGTGTCCCTCCAGATTCAGGAGGCACCAATCACTCATGGCTGGGGGAGGGGACAGAGGGCTGTGGGTCAGGAGTGAGGGACACCAGCAGGGCTGAAAGCATGGGGGGCTGCGTATTGGCTATGAGGGGCATTGGAAGGGGTGGGGGGTTGTGGGCTAGGAGTGAGGGGCACTGGCCGGGCCAGAGACCTGTAGCTTGGGAGTGAGGGGCAATGGCACAGGGAGAGGCAGGACACCGGCATATCAGTGTTGCTCAGCACCACAAAGCAGCTGGGGGGGACAGCTGCAGTTGGACCTACATCCTGATGAGTGAAGGGGCAGGGTGAGCTCTGATTTTCTATAATGAAAAACCCAAAATCAAATGCCAAAATGTATAGGTATTTAGAAATTATTTTATTATAGTAATTGAGGCACTGGTCTGGTAGGCTTCCAATTTGTTTTAAAAACTGTAAATATATCAATAAAACATTGTGTTCAACTGGTCCCTATGTGTATATATAGAGATATAGATATATCTAATCTAGATATAGATATATCTATATATATATATATATAGAGAGAGAGAGAGAGAGAGAGAGAGGTGGTTTCATTTTAATTGCGGAAAAAACGCGGATTGGGGGGGTTTTTAATCAGTTCATTTGGGATTTTTTTTTAAATCAGAGAATTTGGGATTTTTAAACTAGGATCCCTCCATTATTCTTCCTCCGCAGTTACATCAGAAGGGGGGCAGTGGGGTGAGGAACAAAGGAAGAAAGTTCCCCGCACCAGCCAAGAACCCAGCAGGAGCTACTTTAGATCCTCTCTCGAGGAGGCTACCTACACCGACAGATTCGGGTGACCTGTGGGCTGTGCTCTTCCCAGTTTGAGGAGCACTGACTGTGGAAGACAGCTATTCCATGAGCTTAGCCTTGCCCTATGTTAAAAAAAAACAAACCTCAGTCCTAAACCAAGGTGGCACCTTAGAGGAGAGCCACCACTGACAGCTAGATTTGGTCTTTGGATCTGAAGGCCAGAATAACAGCCATGATAGTATGAACACTGAAAAGCCAGCCATCCTCAAGAGGATGTGGCAGAATACCTTGCTTTCCAGGACTCTCTGCTTGGGTCCTGCCATAGGAGTCCTGCCATAGGTCCAGGGTTTTTACTGACTGGCAGTATCCCATTCCTGCATCTGTTAAAACTTCTAGAAAGATCTGCATCCACACTTCCATGAGTCCATAAATCCCACGTGCCCAATTTTCAGAGGTGCAGAGCATCTTCAGCACCCAGGGACTTCCACTGTAGTTGTTCATAGGAAATTATTTAAGAACGGGCTGCACTTTACTCTCTCTGTCTCATACACAGACTTTGTAATGAACTTCTCACAGTCATAACTATTGCTCTGTTGGGCTTAACAGAACAGCTGCAGTCATGGCTCTCAGTTCAACCCCAAGCTGAGAGCTGAATAGCTTTTCCAAGCAGGCTCCATGAAGAGCAAGGATCGTGGGATACACGTAGGTGAAAGCAAGGAGTAAATACAGGCTCTTAGGCAGTTTAACGGCAGCACACAAGGTCTGTACCACCAGACTCTAAGCGGGATAGGCAGTGTCTGTGATGCATAGCCTAGAAGCCCTTTCTGCAGACGGCACGTCTGTACACATACTCTACAATGCTAGGAGCAGACTAATTCATTTCTGCCATGCCTTTTTTTATTATTGCAGCAAACATGTCTCTGGGCACTGTTTCCTAGTCATTTATACAAGCTAGCATCTAGGCAACAGCTACTTTCCTGATCCTTACAGCTGCAAAGTGCCAGCGGCTCTGTTATTAATTGCAATGAGGGTTGCTAGTCCTCAGCACCTTCCACAATAAACCCTGCGTTGTCAAGTGAAGGATTTGCATGGTGCATTATCTTATTTATCCTTTTGTTGCTCATGTGTGAAAAACCATCCAGCTTCAGTTTTGAACGTTTTCCATCAGCAGAAGAGCTAGAGAGCTGTTGAAGAGATGTATTAAGGAATGGCAACCAAGCTGTTATAGCAGTGTTAGTTAATGCAGTGTGCAAGACACTTGCCTGATGCATTGTGGTCTGACTCTGGGAATACCACACAGCATGCACATGGGCCGACAGTTTACAATCAATATTGTGCTCACTGATGCAAGAAGCAACATCATCACATCCTAGACATTACCCCTACAGCCCAGCTTTGGCACTAAATATTTCCAATAACAAGGCTACGTGAAGTGACAAGGGCTATTATTCTTAACCTGCAGTCTACCCTCTCTGAAAAACAGCTGCCAAAAACATCCACTGGATTTTACTGGGGGAGGGGGTTGGGGAGACTATTCAGACAGTCGTAATCCCACTTCAGGAGTCAAGCACTTGGCTAATATAGCAAGATAGGAAGAGAAAAGATTGGCATTTCCATTTACTCTGATTTCTGTGTAGCATGAGCCAAAGCACACTGGTTGACACTTGGTGAAAAGTGTTTTATATGGGGTATCTTAAGGGATGAACTTGGATTCAATTGTATCAGGGACACTCATTCTAATAAACAAGCCCAGTTCTCCCAGTTTGAGCCTCATCTTCAGCTGAGTGATCAAGTATCATATTTCACGAAGGCTGTATCTAGTATTAGAAGCTCAGCACAGACTACATATGTATTGTGAGTGAATAGACTTGTTGTTTCTACAATAAATTTGCTATGGGTTATGATCACAGACACTTTTGAAGTATAAAGTGATTCTACAGTGATAGTTTAAAGTTATATGCATGGCTTTACCAGGGATAAAGGCACAGTAACATTGAGATTCCTGGGTGTTCGGGCCCTGTCAGGAACCACAAATAAGGCATTTCTTTCCCTGCTATCTCCCATTCCAATGTTGGGTCCTACAGACACCGTACACAAAGAAACACCCGATTCATGGATTTTGAAACGGCTTAAGTATATATTAGTTTGGTACCGTTGGGACTCCAGCAATTCTTGGTATGCCGATAAGACCTTACCAGCCAGAAGAGAAATCTTTTGTCAGGAGCGAATGTGCTGACACTGCTTGCTTAATAAATATTCTCCAACTATTTGGGTTGGTCTAATAAAAGATATCAAATTCACCCAAGGAACCTTGTCTGACACTAGGCATTTTTAGGACTAGGTGGTAGCTTAGTGGGGTTCCTAAGAATCTAAATTTTGTCATTGGGTGACTACAGGGGCAGGATGTAAGAACTTAAGTCTTTTTGTGGATCTGGCCTTTCATTTATTTGTAAAGCAGAGATCTTAATAGTTGCCTACTTCTGTAAAGGATTGCAAGAGTTGCTGAAATTTCAGTGCCTGGAGCCAGATACCTAACAAGCTTTACAGATCTAGCCTTTAAATCCTTGGAGGAAAAACAGTGAGTATTACTACT